TCATAGGTGTAATGAAACAGAGTGGGGTAACTGAGGGCTTTGGTTGGCGCTAGATCCACTCCACTCAACTCTGCTCAGGACCGCACTGAGAACCCACGTCCCAGTGGGCGTGCCTGGGGTTCTGGGCCCCCTCTGCACTGGATCCCAGTGTCCTGCCATTGCACCCTCTGGGAGACACCAGGGCGTGGTTTGCCCACCCACACGGAGACCTGGATAGTCTTGGCCTGGGTGGGAGTCAGACGTGGTGGCCTGTGCTGACCACTTCCTGTGTCTGATGAAGACTTGCAGGAGGAAGACAGTCGATTTCCAAAGCATCAGTACTGGAGGGCGTCATATTACCCCTGTGGCTTGTCCGAGAGAAAGAACGCTGGGAAGAGAAAATGGTGTGCGTGGGCCGAGAGCCGGCAGGACTCCCGGTGACCTCGGGGCAGGGGGGGGGGGACTTCAGGAGAAGCCAGTGGCACCAGTCTGGGGTCTCGTCTCTCCTCCTTCCCACCTGCCACCCGTCGTTGGGCGACTGAGTTCAAGGTCGGCCACAGAACCCTGAAATGCAGCATGGGCCGGTCTCATTGCTTCTGATTCCTGGACATGAACTCCAAAACAAAACAAAAATTTTCTTGAAAAGCCCTCTAAGGCTTTTATTATTATTATTATTAAGACAGAGATCTATAAACAGATCTTCTATCAGCTCATTCACTCTCCCAGTGCCGCTCACAGTCAGGGCTGGACCAGGCGGAAGCCATGAACCTGGCGCCCCACCAGGCGGTCACTTGCTGCCTCCGGGATGCAGCCTTACTGGAAGTCCTGGGACAAGTGGATCGAGATGTGAATGCAGGCCCTCGGACATGGCCAGGGCATCAGCAGCCCCACCCACGGCAAAGCCCACCAAGCACCTCTCCATCCAGGCCATCTGAACCTGGATCAGATTGTCCTTGGCCGTGAGCCTGCAACTATAGGAACGGTCTTTAGGTTCGCCCCTTTGCTGGGGGGCATGTGTTTTCCTGGGGTGAGTGGGTAACCAAGAGGAGATGCAAGGCTTGGAGGACACCACAGCATAAGGAAGGGACACAAGGAAGGGAAGACCACGTGGTCCAGGCTGGCAGAGAGACCCCCGAGGCACACGGAACTTCATGCTTGGATTTCTCTGTGTTGATTTGTTTTCATTTCACCTGAATCATACCTGCTAGTTTTGGTATGCAAGGACTAAGATAATAATAATAATAGTAAGAATAAGAATAAGAGGGCCCGGCACCTTGGCCTAGTGGCTAAAGTCCTCACCTTGAATGCTCCGGGATCCCATATGGGCACTGGTTCTAATCCCGGCGGCCCTGTTTCCCATGCAGCTCCCTTCTTGTGTCCTGGGAAAGCAGTTAAGGACAGCCCAAAGCTTTGGGACCCTGCACCCATGTGGGAGACCTGGAAGAAGCTCCTGGCTTCAGATCGGCACAGCACCGGCCATTGTGCTCAAGGAAGATGGAAGATCTTCCTCTCTGTCTCTCCTCCTCTCTGTATATCTGACTTTGTATTAAAAATAAAATAATTCTTAAAAAAAAAAAAAGAATAAGAGTAAACCCTGGAAAGATTCCTGGACAGCTACTCACCCCACATCACTCATCACACTCATCACGGACATTTGTGCTCAGTCCTGCCAGAACTCACCCTATTTATAGAAACACATGAAGACACGTAACTGCACAGACACAGGGCTGGGCTGCAAGGCTCCTTGGCAAATGGCTCGATTACTCCACTATATGTCACAGGGCACTTCCGTGACAAGTCACCCATTGTCTCAATGTGTGACAAATACATCTAATACGAAGTGTTCCTGTTAGCCCTGTTGAAGTGTGTAGTTCAGGAGCGTTAGCACAAGCACATTTAAAAATGTTATTTTCATTTGAAAGGCAGATTTACAGAGAGAAGGAAAGACACACACACACAGAGAAATGTTCCATCATTGGTTCACTCCTTAAATGTGTAAAAAAGCTGAAGCTGAACTGACTGGAACCCAGAAGCTAGGAGCTTCTTCCGGGTCTCCAATGTGCGTACAGGGTCTCCAAAACCTTGAGTCATCCTCCACTGCTTTCCCAGTCCACAAGCAGGCGCCTGGATTGAAAACGGAGCAGCGCAGTCAGCACAAGCTGGAATGGGGGCAGACCAGGCCGGGCCAGGCTGCAGCACCACCAGCAAACGCCGAGGGGAGACAGGTCACGCTAGACTAGACCGCTGCACATACCAGCAATATGCGGAGTGAGTGCGGGGTTGGAGAGCCTGGGAGGGGAGTAGTGGGACTCCATTGCTGGGCCACTGCTCAGGCTGGCAGGTGGGAAAACTGCAACTGGGGGCAGACCAGGATGAGCAGAGCTACAACACCTGTTGGTCTGCATGCAAGCCGAGTTAGGCATAGAGCCAGGCTGGGGTATCAGTATCCACCGCTACAGGCATGAGCCAGAATAAGGGCAGGTGGATTGGGCTTTGCTGCAGCTTCAGCTGGCAAGTGCTGGGACTGGAGACAAGTTCCTTCAAGCTAGACTGCAGAACCATCTTGAGAGTACAAAATCCAAGGCAGGGTGTGGGTCCATGGGGAGTTGTGGACTCCTCTCTGATGGGCTGCAACTCCCACTGGTGAGTATGCGAACCAGGACTGGGGGCAGGCCTGGCTAGACAGGCAGTGGCACCCGCTGGCATGAGTGTGGGTTGGAGGGTGGAGTCAGTTGAGTTGGGTTAGGCTTAAATGCCCAATGATGTGTATGAGCTCCCACTGGGATGTGGGGCAGACCAGACTGCACATGCTGACAGGCACAGGAACCAGAATCGGGGGGCTGGACCAGTGGGGGTTATTGAGAGTGTCTCTGACTGGACAGCAGCTCCCCCTGTGGCATGTGCATGTTGGGCAGGGCTGGGCTATGCCGCAGCATCCACTGGATTTTTGAGGATGGAGGGCAGAATAAACTGATCGACTATCCCAGTGAAGCCTCACAGCAAGCATCAGGGCTAATGAGGACTCTGAGCTGGACCGGGGCAGCGATCGACCTCGGAAGGATTTCCTCACCCGTGGAGCAGTGATAGCAGCAGCATCTCAGAACTATCGAAACCACATGAGCAGAACCTCAGAACATGCTGCACAACGGGGGCCCTGGGGGACATCGGGGGCAGTCCCCCGGGGAATGTGGCGGTTGGGAGGCCGGGCGTGGGAATGCTGACGTATTCCCCTTTTCCCCACATACAAGAAGAAGAAAAAGAAAACGTGTAAACAATGGTCTCACCCACTACCCCCGACCCTCAGCCCTTTCCACCCTGATCAACTATGTAAACATCATCAAAAATAAAATAAAATAAAAAGAAAGAAAAGTGGAACAGCTGGGACTAGAACCAGTGCCCATATGGGATGGCGGCACTGCAGGCAATTAGCATGTAGAGCCCTGATTTCAGCTCCTATGTGCACACCCTGGTCTAACCATCACCACCACCCATCTAGGATCTTGTCTTCCCCGCCTAGCCCCATCGCTTCAGATGGGGTGGGTATCGCCGGTGTCCACGCTCGGTCCCTGTGGGGTTTTGTCATCTCTGCTGTAGGTGAAGGGTCACGTTTCCTAGGCTGACATGTAAGGTCGCTAGCCTGCCTTCCCCATGTCATGCTCCCGCCACTTTCCTCGTCAACATTTTCTTCTGTCAGTTATGATACACGAATAAACAGGATCATCAAACAGCCACACCTGGCTCCCTAACTCACCCAGCAGCTCCTTGAAGATTAAGTCCTTGTTCTTGGCAGGAGGCAGCATAGCCAAGGATGGAACGGCTCAGGCCTCCGCACACCCGGCCTGCAGGGGGCAGCCGCTCCCGCGCCGCCGCCGGCTGCTGCCCGTCCGCTGGGGGCCAGTTCTGCCCAGGGTCGGGGAGGAGGTGGGGCTGGATCTGCATGCAGTAGTTGGGGCTTTAAATCATGCCGTCCCTAATCTGGCCTGTCCTTGTGCCAGCTCGGGGAGGGGGCGGGGGGGATGTAATCACATCTGGGCTTCAGGGAAATTCAGCTGTGGGGTGGCATGTGGGTTTCTGGGAAGGGACTAGAGGAAGAGAAACCAGTGCGGCAGGCCGCAGGGACCTGCTTTGGGGCTAGCTTGGCCCCACGTCCCCAGGGAGGGTCCTGCTGCGATCCTCCTACAAGGAGAAGGCCAAGGCCTTCTTTCCTGAAACTGCATCAGAAAAGGCAGGGGGCACCACCAAGTCGCTGCAGCCAGAGCCTGGGGGACTGCCTGAGGGCTTTGCTTTGGGATTTCAGATCCACTGTTCAAGCAGCTTGTCTGCCTGTGGGCTGGGCGCACAGGACGAAACACAACACCCAGGGTGGTGTTGGCCAGATCCTCCCTGTCCAGACACTAGGCTTTACTGTCCAGCTGGGCGAGCGGACAGCTGCCCGCCCCATGTGGCAGTCCCAAGCATGGAGTATGTACACAGGCGCGGCAGGGCGGGGAGGGGAAAGTCAGGGTTGTAACTGCATCCCGAGTCTGTCCTACACCCACCCGGCAAGCGTGCTGGGCTGTGTTGCTGGGCGAATGGCAGAGCAGCGCTTGCCCTCTGTGGCACCTCCTAGGAGGGCCCCGTGGGATGTGGGAGAGGGGGCCGGGCAGTCAGGCAAAGGTTAGGGGAGGGAAACCAGGCAGAGACCCAGGAGGACGGCAGGAAATGTTTGTGCTTCTCCACCAGGGAGGGAGGACAAACAGGCTCTCCCGACAACCCGGGGCAGCGCGGGCTGAGTCCACGGAGCTCTGCAGCCGGAGCCTCCCCGGACCCTGTGGTCACTGCTGTTGGGAGTGACACCTTGTTCGCTGCTGTGCATGCCACCAGCTTTGCCTCCGGGTGGGACCAGCTGCTTACGACCGCTGGAGGTGGGGGACTGGGGGTGAGGGAGCTTGGTCCTCGCGCACTGTTGCCTGCAGCCCTGTTGGGGGAAGAGGCGGCGAGGGCAGAGAAGGGGCAGCTGGCTCGGTGGCACATGGGACACCATGGCCAACAGCTCGTGCTGCCTCATCGAGGGGGACTCCATCTCACAGGTGATGCCGCCGCTGCTTGTCCTGGCCTTCGTGCTGGGCGTGCTGGGCAATGGCGTGGCCCTGTGCGGCTTCTGCTTCCATGTGAAGACCTGGAAACCCAGCACCATCTACCTTTTCAACTTGGCCGTGGCTGACTTCCTCCTCATGGTCTGCCTGCCCTTTCGGACGGATTACTACCGGCGAGGCAGGGAGTGGGCCTTCGGGGACGTGGCCTGCCGTGCCGTGCTATTCATGCTGGCCATGAACCGGGCCGGCAGCATCGTCTTCCTCACCGTGGTGGCTGTAGACAGGTACTTTAAAGTGGTGCACCCACACCACGTGGCCAACGCCATCTCTGCCCGCACGGCCGCCAGTGTCGTGGGCGCCCTCTGGGCGGCTGTCATCCTGGGGACCCTCCACCTGCTGCTGAGCAGCCGGCTGTGCGTGCGCCAGGGGGCTGCATCCTGTGAGAGCTTCATCATGGAGTCGGCCAATGGCTGGCACGACATCATGTTCCAGCTGGAGTTCTTCCTGCCCCTCGGCATCATCTTGTTCTGCTCTTTCCGGATCGTGGGGCGCCTGCGGCAGCGGCAACATCTGACCCGGCAGCCCCGGATGAGAAGGGCCATCTGGTTCATCCTGGTGGTGACCCTGGTGTTCGTCACCGGCTACTTGCCCAGCGTGTCGGCCCGGCTCTATTTCCTCTGGACGGTGCCCGCCAGTGCCTGCGACCCATCGGTCCACCTGGCCCTCCACGTCACCCTCAGCTTCACCTACATGAGCAGCATGCTGGACCCCCTGGTCTATTACTTCTCCAGCCCCTCGTTCCCCAAGTTCTACACCAAGATCAAAATCTGCAGTGTGCGATCCAGGTGGTCGGGACACTCCAGGACACCGGGGCCGGAGGAGATGCCGGTTTCCAACCTGCGTCGCAAAGCCTGTGTGCGCATGGCTAAGCGAGGCCAGTCTGATGTCCAGTGTGATCGCCACGCATGCTGAGCAGCTCGGGAAGAAGAGAGGCCAGACGGGCAGCCTCCGGCTGGTATGTGCCTGGAAATGGCCGCCTGACTTTCTGAGAGTCACATTACTGTCCCTTGCCTGCAGGTCCCAGTTGGTTGAAGCAAACTGGTGGCATTGACATGAGCTGGGCACAAGGGCAGGGGCCAGGTGTGCGTGAGTGGAGGGCCGTGGGCATCGGGCAGGGATGTGACGGGCTCCTCAGCTCTGGGGTGTTTCGAAGCAGCAGAGCAAACAGCTGTGGTGAAGGAGCATGCTCTCACTCAGGGAGGTGGGAAGTGCTGAACTGCATCGCTCGTTTCTTGTGCGCTGCGCCAATTCGTTGTCTTGGAGAACAGAACCTGGTTAGTCAGGACGCTTATATCAGGCTTAGGGAAATAAGTTCTTGATCCTGACAGTAGCTCTCTTCCGTAGCCCCTCTGGACGCTGCTTGGCTGTTGTTTGGGCTTCTAGGCAGCCCAAGAACGCAGCAAACAATTTAATCTGACCTTTGTTCGGTGCGGTTCTCTGCAGATCTTCACGCCTGCCAGGAGGCGTTGGGGGTTACATTCAACTGCCTTTGCTTTTCCACCCCAGCCCAGGGTAGCAGCAAGGTGGGGAACAGAGAACTTGAAAAGATTCCTGTTGGTTTTTGGGGTGTGCAAATTCAGCTAGGGTTGCCACTGACTGCTGGCTCTGTGGCCATGGAGGGAAACCAGCTGCCCATCCCCATAGCCATCCCCCAAGTGTTTGCTGTATTCAAGACAGGTCCTTTCCAGCTGCAGGGTCCTGGCTCAGCCAGCCCCCCAGTGCGACGCGGCCTCCCCATCACCCCCTTAGCTCGCAGCTTCTGTTAACTGTTCTCTGCAAATCTCAGGTTCTCTTCTCTTTGCGGGACTTCCTTATGCATCGATTCTTGCTTCCCAAAGCCTCCCTGGGGACCTCAGGATTTGCTGACTCTGGGAAATAACGGGCAGCCGGGGCCCTGACCCTGGGGGAGAAACCTACGCCACACTCCAAGCCGTGCAGCTGTGTGGCCGTGTGGCCTTGCGGTGGCTCTCCACTCCCGTGAGCACGCTTTTGCAATGCCCAGGGGTGCCTTTCCTTTGTACTGACCTTGCCAAGCTCTAGTTCTTTGGCCTTAAAAGATTCCTGTGGGTTGCTCCACTCCTGGCTTTTCCGGTGCTGTAGCAATGAAAAGCTCCAGGCTGGGGCAGAGGGACAGAGGGACAAAAGTCTACACCCCAGTCCAACTTCTTGCTAGATACAAGGTCTTGGCCCAGTTCGGCTCTTTACTGAACTGCATTCAGTTTTTGGTCTGCTGGGTCAAACAAGAGAAGCAATAGCTCTGCCTTCAAGGGGTGGCGGGGTGGACGCGGGGAATGTGTGGCCCTGACGCATGAGGACTCAGCCAGGCACCTGCGAGTAGTCGGTGCTTCACGCGGCTTGTTTATGAACATGGTAGCGTTAAGGGCAGCAGCTGGCAGCGATGGCTCCAGATAACGACAATTACATGAAGCATGTCTGATATGGACTGGAAGAGGCACAGCTTCTCCGGGGGCTCTGATGGTGTTGCTCCATGGTCTCCCCCCAGTCCCCTGCTCCCCCTGCTGCCAGGACAGCGGTTGAGGCAAAGATTCTTATCAGCCTCCAAAGTGCATATATCCTCTTGATAGGAACCCAAGTAAAAACCCCAACGCTCCTTCCGCTCTCAGTTCTATTCTTAGCTACAGTTCCTGCCCGGGGCGCCCCTTGGTGGCTCCAGCTCAATAAAAATGGGTTTGAAGAGAAAAATCTGCGTGTGTGTGACTCTGTTGGGTGTGGGGAGTCGTGTGTGCTACCCAGAAGCTCCACCTGGCAGGTGCGTCCCCAGGGGTCTCACCGAGAACTCAAGGACAGCAGCAGGAGCCACGCCCAGGTTCAAGTGCATTCTCCATGTGGAATTGGCAGAATGTGACCCAAAAAGAAGCCATCTTAAGGAGAGGTTCCCCTCACCCCCAGGAATTGTAAGGGAGAGGAGTCGGCTTTGTTGGTAAAGTTTTGCTCATGCTTCCAGGGACAGGAAAGCATTTGATTCAGAGCAAATGTTTGTGCTTGCTTTGGCAGCACTTACGCTAGAATTGGAACAATGCAAGTGAAATGCTTCTCCTGCTGTGGTGTTTTGGGAAAAGTCCTTTGGAGATAAGATGGGAAATCAGACCAGAAATACCAAGAGGGGTCCGAGCCGAGGTGTAAGGGACGCCTCCTTTAGTGCTGCCCGTGGTAGAATCGTCAATTCCAGCCCACTCTCAGAAGAGGTCTCCTTGTCTTTGACTCAAATGAAAATGCCTCGGGTGGTGTGTGCAGTCACCCCCGGATTAGGGGTATGTGGTGTGTAGGTGGGGATTTGGACTGTGGGGCTCAGGGGGTTCTATGTGGCGAGGCAGGACTTGGCCAGGCTGTGTGACGAGGGCTCGGGGAGCTTGCCTTTCAGCCTGGTACCCTAGAAGTTCCTGGCATCCTGGAGCAGGCGTCAGCGGCTCGCACTGGCACCCTGGTGGGAAGGGCTTGGTGTGAACGGAAAATGCGAGGTCCTTGGTTTCATAACTCTCCAGAATTACCCCATGTGTCAGCCTCCCACTCCGGCCGGCACGGGGCCCTCTGGGCTCACCCAGGAAGACAGAGCTCCCAGCTGAGTCCATAGCTCATTTGGCATAATAAATTTAAGTTCACATGTAGGTTTTTTTCATAATATGCATTTGCCAGAGCATTCTTCCATAAACTTTTCAAAGATCCCTCCTGTGGAAGGATCTCAGAAAGTTTTTACACCGAAATAAACTTGTCTGGGAGTGGGCGTTTGGTGGAGCAGTGAAGACCCCACATAGATGACATTTTTCCTCTTTAAAGCGATGGAGTTGGGGTCGGGCGTGGCACATCAGGGGAACCGGCTGCTTACAACACCCGTATTCCTCACGAGTACTGGTCTGAGTCCCAGCTGCTCCACTTCTGATCCAGCTCCTTGCTCATGTGCCAGGGTAAGTAGAGGAAGATGGCCCTGGAGCTTGGGCCCCTGGAACCCATGTGGGAGACCAAGATGAAGTTCTAGGCTTCTGGTATTGACCTGGCCCAGCACCTGCGGCTGCGGAGTGAGCAGTGGATGAAAAATCGCCTTCCTCTCTGTCTGCCCGACTTTCTCTGTAACTCTGCTTTTCAAATAGATGACAGATCTTTAATAAAGTGATGAAGTCCAGTTTAAATTTATTTTTATTGCAAAGTCAGATATACAGAGAGGAGGAGAAACAGAGAGGAAGATCTTCTGTCCGTTGATTCATTCCCCAGGTGACCACAATGGGGAGCTGCACCGATCTGAAGCCAGGAACCTCCTCCAGGTCTCCCACATGTGGGTGCAGGGGCCCAGGGCTTTGGGCCGTTCTCAACTGTTCTCCCAGGCCACAAGCAGGGAGCTGGATGGGAAGTGGAGCTGCCAGGATTAGAACTGGTGCCCAGGCGAGGACTTTAGCCATTAGGCCACCACACCAGGCCCACGAATTTATTTTCGTTGCATTTGTTTTTGGTGGCATGCCTTGGAAGGCTGTCCTTAGTTTGAGATTATGAAGACTTAGGTGTTTTTGTTTTGCTTTGGTTTGGTTTGTTTTTTTTTCCTCAGAGTTCTATAGTTTGAGCTGCTACAATTAGGTCTGCAAGTCCCTTCGCGAGATTATAAGCAAGGGGCCTCCTTCTCCTACTTGGGGCTTCTCTCATTTTTTTAAGTCTCACTTAAAAAATATTTAAAAAATTTTTGGAAAGGCAGATAAACAGAGAGAAGGAGAGAGAGAGAGAGAAAGATCTTCTGTCTGATGATTCACTTCCCAAGTGGCTGCATCAGCTGGAGCTGAGCTGATTTGAAGCCAGGAGCCAGGAGCCTCTTCCAGGTCTCTCACATGGTTGCAGGGTCCCAAGGCCTTGGGCCGTCCTCCACTGCTTTCCCAGGACACAGGCAGGGAGCTGGATGGGAAGTGGAGCAGCTGGGATTAGAACCATTAGAACCAGCGTCCATATGGGATCCTGGCGGGTTCAAGGCGAGGACTTTAGCCGCTAGGCTACCATGGTGGGCCCCCAAGTCTCACTCTTACAAGGGTTATTCCTTCTCCTTGTATTGTTCTGATATTCGCTAAAAGCTGACCATAAGCTGTGCTATCTTGATTACTTCTGGACTCTCAGAAATTATGCTACTTTGATTGCTGTAACTCCAGGGCTAATTTTAAAGCAGGAAATGTGAGTTCTCCAATTTTGTTCCTCTTCTTCATTTAAAAAAAAACTTATTCTCATGATAAAGTTCCATAAATTCAGGAAAATTTTGTTCGTTTTTCAAGATCATTTGCTTATTCTGCTAGCCCTCGGTTTATTTTACGTTAAACTCAATACTACATTTTTAAAACCTAAAATAGCCTGATTCATTTTTTATTTTTGTTTTTAAAGATTTATTATTTGTGCTTACTTTGGCAGCAGAGCAGCACATATATTAAGATTTTTTTTTTTAATTGGAAAGGCAGATTTACAGAGAGAAGGAGAGACAATGATTTTCCATCTGCTGTTTCACTTCAACAGCCGATGCTGAGCCGATCTAAAGCCAGGAGCCAGGAGCCAGGAGCTTCTTCTGGGTTTCCTACACAGGTGCAGGGACCCAGGCCTTGGGCCGTCCTCCACTGCTTTTCCCAGGCCTCAAGCAGGGAGCTGGATGGAAGTGGAGCAACCAGGATGCAAATGGGCACCCATATGGGATCCCAGCATTGCAGGCTGTGGCCTTACCCACTACACAGCGCTGGCCCCACACACTCTTTTACGCTTTCTAAGCATATCTGCCTGTTGGCAACAGCAGCTTCCTCTCTACCTCATTTTTAACTTTTTCATTCCTCATTAGGAGTTCCGAGGGCTCTAACTTCCTGTTTATAGAGTCCCAACTCAGTCATTCACACACAGCAAACCAAAGTCTCCCAAGGCAGCCCCGGTGAACTTGACCTTGACGTCCTGAGTGGTTCTGATGACACCCTGCCCATCATGGGGGACACAGACCAGTTGTGCCGGCTGCTTCAACCCCTCAAATGTGCTGGAGGCTTGGGGATTTCTGCGTTCCCGTGTGGGCTTCTGGGAGCCCTGGATGGTCCGTGTGTGAAGTATGGCCTGCCCGGTGAGAGGAACATGTGGACATGGGGAGGCCACAGGAAGATGCACGGGGCTACAGAGAGAGAGAGAGCGCGAGAGAGAGAGAGCAGCTTGAGGTCTCAGGGTCCTGCTTGGTCGTTCATGGACATTCTAGTCCAGCTGCCATCACAGCCTCCTGTAAGAACTGCCTGCCTGAGCCCAGCTCAGCCTGGGAGCCTGACAACACGCACCTGCACTGTTTCAAGCCATTCACTGTAGTTGAGTTCAAAGGCATGAAGTGGTCAATCGCCTGTTCTCTCTGGGCCAGTCTGTGAAGTGGGATTGTGATGATGACAGCAAATCTCTTGTAAGATTTTAAATTGATGAACAACCACAGCCCAGTGAGTATCTGAGACTCTAAGGTGGACTATGTCAACCAGTCAATTCTGAAGATTTTCGTTGTGCTTAGAGTGGCGAGATCGGCAGTAATTGAGAACTTTGAACTATCAAAGTCTCTTGAGCAGGACCCTTGGAGCTTGCCCCACATCGGGGACCCTGGGCTGGTGTGGGGTAGCTTCCTCCATCCCAGGGTACGGAGGCGTTGGGAGGCTATGGCTTCTCTCTTTATCTCCCCCCACCCCCAGATACAGGAAGGAAAAAAAGAAAATGTGGAAACCATGGTCTCACCCACCTTCCTGTAACTCTCAACTCTTATCACCCTAATCAACTACGTAAAAATCATCAAAAATAAAAATAATGATGAGTTGGGCCTAGCGGCTAAAGTCCTCGCCTTGAACATGCTCAGGACCCCATGTGGGCACCTGTTCTAATCCCAGCCGCTCCATTTCCCATCCAGCTCCCTGCTTGTGGCCTGGGAAAGCAGTTGAGGATGGCCCAAGGCCTTGGGATCCTGCAACCGTGTGGGAGACCTGGAAGAAACTCCTGGATCCTGGCTTCAGATCTGCTCAGCTCTGGCCGTTGTAGTCACTTGGGAAGTGAATCATCGGACAGAAGATCTTCCTCTCTGTTTCTCCTCCTCTCTGTATATCTGACCTTGCAATAAAAATAAATATTTTTTAAAAAAATTATAAGCATCTCTTGTAGGATTTTGTGGGGAATGAAATGAGCTCATACAGGCCAGTCTGTGTTGCATGCCTGGCACATAGAAAATGCCTGAAAAATTGTAGCTGACTTTTAAAAAACATATACTTCTTATTTTTGTTGGAAAGGCAGCTTTACAGAGAAAAGGAGAGACAGAGAGAAAAATCTTTCACCTGTTGGCTCATGCCTCAACTGGCTGCAAAGGCCAGCGCTGAGTCGATCCAAAGCCAGGAGCCTGGAGCTGTCCTGGAGGCACAGCCAGGAGGTCCTGAATCCTGGGACTGCAAAATGGACTGTGGGAGAATCACTTCTGATATTGCTTTTTAGTTAAAAAACAAAAATCATTTCACACAGCGCAGCGGAGCACAGAAGGCCAGAGGGGAGACAGGCAATGCTCCTGTGAGTCATAAATGGTCAGTGGGCTTTCCATCACTGTGCTCCTGAAATGATTCATTGTAACAAGTTTCTGTGCAACTCAGGCACTCGTAAGAAAAAGGACAGGAGCAAGAAGAAACATGCCTGGGGTACAGTGGAAGGACCGGAAATTCTGTAGCCTGCTCCCCGCTCCCAAATCCAGGGAGGCAGGCATGTACCGGCTGAGCAGCTGGGAGCCGTGAGCCGAGCTGGGAGGAGCTGGGAGGAGCTGGAGGGAGCGGGAAGGACCCTCGCCAGTGGGAGCTGGGGACTGGGGTGGCCAGGAGGTTCGAGCAGGCACCTTCCAAAGGGACTGTGTTTGCTGCCATGCTTTTCTTATGATCACCACACTGTTGCAGCGGCATTGCGTGGATGGCATCCAACTGTACAACGTGGGCAGAGAGGGTCCCTTGCAGGTGCTGCAGTTGTCACACAGACAAGACCGCAGTCCTCCGAGCCCTAACAGCAGGGCCCAGGAACACGCTCCGGAGGCAGGGTGGAGCGACACCGCACAGCAGACCAGGCATTCAATCTGTGCGTCAAGGGTGGTGATGGCGGGCTGGGAGGCTGTGCCACCCACAAATCCCTTCAGTGTCCCCATCAGCCAGTGGCCTCAGCGTACCAGCAGCCCCTTGGAGTTTTCACTTTCCTTGTTTGGAAACCGGGAATGGTAACAGCCCCTCCCTGGAAAGCTAGGGCCGGGGTGAAGATGGACCGTGGATTTGGAACTCCGAGCCTAGATGCTAACCTGCAGGTGCCATCATGGTCTCCACTACCACCATCATCGTCACATAGAGCCAGACCTACTGAAGTCCAACACAAGGTTCACCCGACCCTAGCTTACTGGGAAGACCCGGGAAACCCCCAACATTGCACCTAGCTAGGCAACTAACAGTTGCTATTTCCAACTCCACACTGGGGGCCGGCTCGTAGCACAGCAAGTTAAGCTGCCACTTGGGTTCCTGGGATACCATATGCGTGCCGGTTCCAAGTTCTGGCTACTCCATTTCCAGTCCGTCTCCCTGTTAATGTACCAAATAAAACAGTGGAAGATGGTTCAAGGGCTTGGATCCTTGCCACTCCAAGTGGTGGGGCGGGGGTCCCAGACGGAGTTCCAAGTTCCTGAATTCAGCATTGCCCAGACCCATGTGGGGCGGCCGTTGGTGGAGTGAGCCACTGGATGGATTATCTTCTCTCTGTCTTCCAGATAAGTGAATATATCTCAAAAACAAACAAATAAAAATAAGTAACAACAACAAAACAGGACAGCCAGAAGCAGCAATGTTCTGAAGGGCGATGCCCGACCACCCTGGGCAGTAAAGATGACGTGTGAAGGGTTGTCTGCTGTTGCTCCAGGTCTATGAAATCGGGGATTTTAAGACGCCGTGCACTTGGCTGGGGCGAGACTGTGCCCGCTCACGTGCAGGAGACAAGGGATTTTGCACTTCCTGCCCAGTTTTTCTGTGAAGCTAAAATTACTCTGCCCGAGGAAGACTGGTGGTTTTAAAAATAATACAATAATACCTACTTAAAGATGGATCTCTCTAAAAAAAAAAAGACAAATCACTCAACAGCACGTTGGCTACAAGAATCCAACGTGAACCACACATGCTATCTTCCTTAACCACGGGTGACTCACATCGGGCTTGGGTTTTTAGACAGGGAGCTGGTGAGGATGTCCCATCTGTTGGTGACACAGGACGAACGCTCATGTGCCACACGTTCTCACAACACACTCAGGCTGCCGTGTTCTCTCAGCCTTTTCACAGAAATCGTGTGCACGTGGCTGATTCCTATTTTTTTTTTAAGATTTATTTATTTATATTGGAAAGGTGGATATACAGAGGAGGAGAGACAGAAAAGAAGATCTTCTGTCTGATGGTTCACTCCCTAAGCGGCTGCAATGGCTGGAGCTGAGCTGATTTGAAGCCAGGAGCCAGGAGCCTCTTCTGGGTCTCCCACACAGATGCAGGATCCCAAGGCTTTGGGCCGTCCCAGGCAGCAAACAGGGAGCTGGATGGGAAGTGGGGATGCTGGGATTAGAACCGGTGCCGATATGGGATCCCGACACGTGCAAGAGGAGGACTTTAACCACTATGCTATCCCGCTGGGCCCAGCTGGTTCTTGAGTTAGGCGCACACACATGTTTCCTGTGAATCCTTGCTGTTCCCCAACACTCGGCACTTCAGCTACATGGCTCTCACGCCCTGCCAGCGGTTCCTGCCTGGCCACTGTGGCCAGTGGTTCTGTGAGTAAAGTCAAGGGCAGCCAGCAATCACCTCTCCAGGGCTGGCACCCTGTCAGGGGATGGGCGCACTGGCTCTCTCACAGGGAGATGTCCTGGCCTTCTTGGCTTGCCCAAAACTCACCCTTCACATTTAGAAAGTTCTGTTGGTTCCTGTTCGCCCAGGGGATTTTTCTTACTTGTTTATGCAAACAGCAGGTTGCTCAAGAGCCACGCTGCTTTTTTTTTTTCCTGAAGTGATTTCGTAGCTTCCTGGTAACCATTCAGTCATCTATTTCAACACCCCTGACATGACATAAAGGCCAGGGCTGTGCTGCCTGCTCCCCACACAGACGCACACCTCTCTCCCAGGTGAGGCGCTCCTGAGCGGGGCCCCTGCTCCGTCTCTCCATGAACCAGCACCGCCCGCAGGAGCATTTTCTGGTGATCGGAGGCAAGAACTGCTGTGTGTTCCGAGATGACTTCATTGCCAACGTGCTGCCACCCGTGCTGGGGCTGGAGTTCGTGTTCGGGCTCCTGGGCAATGGCCTCGCCTTGTGGATTTTCTGCTTTCACCTCAAGTCCTGGAAATCCAGCCGGATTTTCTTGTTCAACTTGGCCGTGGCTGACTTTCTCCTCATCATCTGCTTGCCCTTCCTGACGGACAACTACATGAGGAAGTGGGACTGGAAGTTCGGGGATGTCCCTTGTCGGCTGATGCTCTTCATGCTGGCCATGAATCGCCAGGGCAGCATCATCTTCCTCACCGTGGTGGCCGTGGACAGGTACTTCCGGGTGGTTCACCCCCACCACGCTCTCAACAAGATCTCCAACCAGACGGCAGCCGTCATTTCGTGCCTCCTGTGGGGCGTCACCATCGGCCTGACCGTCCACCTCCTCAACAAGAAGATGCTGACCCCCAACGGCGCGGCCAACCTGTGCAGCAGCTTCAGCATCTGTGAGGCCTTCCGCTGGCACGACGCCATGTTCCTGCTGGAGTTCTTCCTGCCGCTCGCCATCATCCTCTTCTGCTCGGTCCGCATCGTGTGGAGCCTGCGGCAGAGGCAGATGGACCGGCACGCCAAGATCCGCAGAGCCATCAACTTTGTCCTGGTGGTGGCCGTGGTCTTCGTCATCTGCTTCCTGCCCAGCGTGGCCGTGCGCATGCGCATCTTCTGGCTGCTGCACACGTCGGGGACGCGCGACTGTGGCGTGTACCGCTCCGTGGATCTGGCCTTCTTTATCACCCTCAGCTTCACCTACATGAACAGCATGCTGGACCCGCTGGTCTACTACTTCTCTAGCCCCTCGTTCCCCAACTTCTTCTCCATGCTTTTCAACCGCTGCCTCCGGAGGAGGGCTCCGCCCGGCGAACCAGACAACAACAGGAGTACCAGCGTGGAGCTCACGGGGGACCCGAGCTCCCTCCGGAGTCCGGACGCCCTGATGGCCGAGCCCAGCTGCCCGTGGAGCCCCTCGCACATGGCCCCAAGCCCTCGCTAAGCAGTGGCGCTGGGAAAGGTGGAGACGGTGGGCAGGAGCCAGGTCTCTGCAGGCACGTGGGACCCGGTGTGTTGAGCTGGGCTTGAGGTTTCCTGAAACTTCTGCATTCAGAGAAATCACACAGTGGCGCAGTGGGCTGCGTGGTAACAGGCTGTCACTGCAGACACTGGAGGGGGAGGCAAGGGGAACCGATCTTGGAGCTTCCAGGCAACTGAAGTCATGCAGGCTTTAGCACCTATGTTTGCAGGACTGAAGATGGGCAGGGCTGGAACCCCTGGGTGGTTTGGGGTTTCTGACCTCGTGCCTGAGACGTGGTGGACGGTCTTCAGCTCCCAGGGCAGCAGCTGGCTCGGAGTGAGCTTAGCAGAGGCTGGGAAGGTTGGGGGGGACTCAGGCGTCCAGGAACCCGCCAGAAAGGGAGGAGGAAAAGGTTCATAAATTGTGCATGAATATCTGAGTTTGCAGCAGCGGTGACAAGGGGATTGGCCCCAGGAGATACGGAGCTATTAGGGGACAGAAAATGGCCTTTGTGCCGCAGCCAACCACGAATCCATCCGTCTGTTTGTAGGCACAGGAGGGCCCGGCTATTAGAGAGCTTGGGAAGGGACGTGGCTTCCTTCCTCTGTTTGCACCTGTCATTAAGTGGGAGCCACGGCCACGCTGAGCACCAGGGCGCTGGGGTAAGGTTCCTTCTGGTTCATTTGCTCGCATTTCTGTTATTTAAAATAAATGGACCATTGCAATCAATTTTGATAGGAGACATGGTCTGATGTTGCATCTGTCTGGGTTATGGTTCACAGACTGCCACTGCGGGGGACCTTGACGAGTTAACTCTGCCCTGGAAGTAAAGCACTGTGGCCTGCAAAGTGAGGCAGGGACCCAGTGACCGGGCAGCGCCATGAGACACAGACGAGTCACGGGCCAAACGAAAACCATGCGCTTTGGAAGGGGCGCGGGGAGGAGGCTACAGAAACAGTTCTTTACGCTCTGTTGGGGGAATCTGTGTGTCAGGGAGGGAATCAGATAGACCAGAATTTCCTGCAGGCGGGGTGGGGGTGGTGAAGGGCTCCCAAGGGACCGTTTCGGTTCCCAGTTCTGAGCCAGAAGGGAGATGTTCTGGTTTGAGTCTGTAATCCCGCCAGGTTTCTGTTGAGCTTTCACTTCCATCTCCATGTCCCTCCTTGATGCTTGAGCAAGATGAGGCTTGCTCCAGCCTCCTCGCTGGATGCAGATAAGGCGTTTCACTATTCCGACGCCCAGCCCCAGATGAACAGCCCTGAGAGCGGCAAGGATGCCTTCCTGAATTGCTCAACACTCCCACAGGGAGGACCGAGAGTGCGCAGGCGTCACCGGCTGGGCTAGGTAGGGAGGCTCTCGGGGTGCGGGCTGGGGAAGCCCCACTGTGCATCCCCAGCTCTTTCCTTCTGGGGGATCGGCAGCATTGGGGATTCAGGGCTTCCTGCCGGCCACTTTGTCCAGGCTGCGTTGGCTTCCACGTGTCCTTTGCCAGGTTGCAAGTGCCGTGCTGGGTGGAGGAGCTGGGGCTCCCATCAAGGCTGAGATGCGGGGGACAGGGGACAGGGGGTGTGGACATGGTGAAGCAGGATGAGCGAAGGCTATGATGTGTGGGAAGGCCTCTCTGAGGAGGTGACACAGTGGTCAAGGACAAGACAGAGCAAACAACGCAAAAGTTGGGGTGAGTGTGGGGGGACAGTGCAAAGTCCCCGAGGAGATGAAGCCATTGGCGCTGCTCAGCATTCAGCTTTCCCAGGGCTGCCTTAACAGAAGTGCCCGTCAACTGGGGGTTCACGCCAGCAGAAATGGCTTCCCTGGAAGGCAGAGGCACCCCCAGAGCAAGGTGCCAGCCTCTCCTGGAGGCTCCAAAGGTGTGGCTGCAGGCACCTGCCTGGAGTCCCAACACTCCTGGGTCCTGCCCACATGGTCCTGCCTCTGTGGGCCTTTGCCATGGCCTTCTCCTGGAGTTCCACACCCTTGCCTTTGTCCTTCTAAGGACACTGTTGTGGAGCCTCGAGAGTCCCACCTTCCACCAAGGCCATCTTCTAAGGCACAAGGCAGTCCCCTGTAATAAGGAAGATAGGAGAAACCAGGTGCCAGGGGTCGGCCACCCCGTGGCAAAAATAGGTGAGATGAAGATTGCATTACCCCATGTAGAAAGAGTTTCTGAACTGAATGCAACCAGACGTTGTGACACGGGTGCCCAGGTGCCACTTTGGAGGCCTGGCATTGGGTCCCTGCTCCAGTGCCGCTCCAGCTTCCAGCTACTGAGCATGCTGGAAGGCAGCAGCACGGATGGCTCAGGCTGACTTCTTGGCCACCCATGTGGGAAGCACAGACCGAGTTCCTGGCTCTTGGCCCTGACCTGGTCCGCTCCCAGCTGCTGCAGGCATCCAGGGAGTAAACCAGTAGACAGATCTCTCTCTGACACTCCACCCATCAGATAAAGTAAATAGAGGCTGTGTTGTGCCATACTAGATTAAGCTGCCACCTGCAATGCCAACATTCACACAGGTTCCCGTTTAAGATCTGGCTGCTTCACTTCCCATCCAGCTCTCTGCTTGTGGCCTGGGAAAGCAGCACAAGATGGCCCAAGTCCTCAGCCCCCTGCACCTGCGTGGGAGACCTGGAAGGAGCTGCTGGCTCTGGGCTGTCCCAGCTCCTGTCACTGCGGCCATCTGGGGAGTGAACTAGTAGATGTAGGATCTCTCTATCTCTTTCTGTAACTCTACTTTTCAAATAAATAAAAATTAAATCTTTACAAACACAAAAAAGCTGATCGCACAGCTGCTTGCTTTATCTCATGGGGTGCTAAGTACTTGGGCTTTCAAATAGAGCTTCCTTTCAGCTGCTCCCAGGAGAGAGGCCATACCTGCCTGCAGCACTGCCCGGAGCTGGGGTGGGAGGTCACACCAGCTCCGCTCCCAAGACCTCCCTCAGCCTCTCCCCATCTGGTCCCTGGTCTGAAGGAGGGGCCCCATGCCCCGCCCTCCTCTGCCCACGTTCTCCTAGTGCGGGCGCACCACGAGTTCTTCTGATGCCTTTTGGTTTAATTTTCAAAATACTTCCTGAAGCCACCTCATAGATCAGCTGGCTCTGCTCATTGCGACAGACTGGGAGCCCGCTGATGCCTTGCGCCTCTGCGCCTCTGCGGGATCAACACCAGCCCGGGCATTGGCTCTCTAGGGGGTCATGAGCAGAACCTGTGGTGTCAGGATCAGGGGAGACCTGCGTGGTGAAGGACAGGTTCGCCTGTTCTATCCAGCCCCTAGGTCCGAACATTCCTCGGCAGGTGGCAGGACCCAAAACTGTCTCAGTCTGTCTCCATAGTGGTGGGAAGAGTCTCTGAATTCCTGCCAGGCTCTGCCCTCCATTTCCTGACTGTGTCTGGGCCTTCAGCAGAACTATCACCATTCCCTTGCTCCCAGAGCACCTGCCCTGTGACTCAAGCGTGGGCCTGATGGGTGAGTGATGGAGCCTGCACAGCCATGTGAGTGGACAACCAGAGTCCCTGTTTTGATCCAGGTTCTTGCCTCCGGCAGGGACAGAGCCTGGGCTCATGTGCAAACAGGGACAGAGTTCACTGGGCAATGGTGGGACACATGTGAATTCACTCATCAGTGTGGGCTCCCTTGCCATCCCATTCAGGAACATACCCAGCCTGAAGAGGCCAAAGGGTGGCCACAAGTTAGAAAAGAAAATCCAAAGACAGGATCTCCCATGGGGAAGCTGCCTGAGACAGCCCTGCCCACAGAAGTGAACTCAGAGTCCCACAGCCCATGGTGGAGAAGGATTCTCTCTCACTCCCTCTTTCACAAGGAAGAGGGTGGAACCCCAATTTGATATGCAGATAGGATAGGGTCTCATCATTTGCTTTGGTCCCAATGTGACAGGTGCATCCTGAGAAGCTGTGTATATCCAACTGACAGTTAGAGACAGTATCATGTTGAGTCCCAGCTCCTCTCTGCTTCAGCTAAATTTTAACTGGCCAGTCACATGACGTCATGGCGCCCTCGCCAAGTGTCTTCCCAAGCCCTTTGGAAGGCCCCGCTGCAGAACCAACACCTTCGCTATTGTATGTGTCATATTGTATGTGACACACTCTTTGGCACCTGGCCACGAGGTTTGCTCTGTTCCCTGCTGCTTGTGGCCTGTGACAGGAGATGTTGCTGCTCTGTAGCCGGGACCCTCACCTGAGCCCCTTGGCTACACTGTTGTCTTTGGGTGGCATGTGGTGGGACTGACCTCAGAATCTGACGCGCAGCCCTCGATCCCACGGCCCCGGATGAAAGACAAGTGCTCTTAGCAAATATTGATATGCTGGGAGCCCTGGTCACGCCCGGGAACAGACCTCAAACCATCAGTAGCAGTTAGGATAGGACATGAAACTGAACAAGCTGAACAGGGGAGAGAAATCCATGTCACCCACTGATGTCGCGGGCTAGCGCATGCGTGCAACGTGTGACAGGACAGAGGGTGGGAAACGGCAGGGTCTGTGTGTTTCAGTAAAGCAGCATGGATGCCAACCTGTGCCCAGGGAGGGTGAAGGCTGCCCCATCATCATCATCATCACCATCCCCACCTTCTAGCTGCTGTGTCTGAGATTTGTGCCGTGGCATCTGTCACACACTTCTGAAGGGTTCTAAGCAGACGGCCTCACTCCGCCCTCCAGTAGCCGTGACAGCCGCTATTTCCCCTGCCCTAGACAAAGGAACTGAGCCCAGCTGGCGTGAGAAGCTTGACCGAGTTCAGGTAGCTGGTAAACACCGATCCAAAACCAACACAGGCAGGGCTTGACTCTGGGGCCCTCGCTGTTCAAAGCTCCAAGAGATGAACACTTTGAGTTGGAAAAACAAGGTGAAAACAGCTTCCCGCATGCAGAGCCACTATTCCAGAACCTCGCACGCTGCCTGCCCAGGGGGGCCGCGGGACCCTCCCCTGCTGAGGCCAAGGCCACGGATGCGATGGGATGCAGTGTGGATGCTCAGTTCGCTTCCGCAGCCCAACTGGCCCATTCTCCCTTGCTGAAATTCTGCTATTCTCTCCAAAGAAGCTTCCAGCTCACAAGGAGCCAGGCCCAGGATTGGCACTGCAACATAACCCTGTAATAGGGAAGCAACCCAGGGGCCCACTGGAAGGAAGAATAAACACATAGTGATACAGGAATCTTCCTGGAATATTATGTATATATAGCAATGAAAAAACAGAACCACTGCATATCAACATGACTGAGCTCTGAGCCTACTTACAGCACAAAGATACAGGCAATTTGGGTAACCTTTGTGTAATATTTAAGACACGTACAATGGCTCGATTGGCTAATCCTCCATCTCCGAGTGTGGCATCTCATATGGGTGCCGATTCATATCCCGGCAGCTCCACTTCCCATCCAGCTCCCTGCCTGTGGCCTGGGAAAGCAGTGGAGGACGGCCCAAAGCCTTGGGACCCTGCATGCATGTGGGAGACCTGG